ATTTTTTCCATCAAATATACTCCCAATGAAGCAATTCGGGTAATTCGAAACCACATCCTTCAATAGCTAAACGACGACTTTAAAGAGATCGCGCGGGTTATATCCAATCTTCTTTTAATTCCTGGGAAATCAAAATTCTTTATAGACTTAGGAGTGGTCACACTTATGACAAAGTTTATTTAAAAATGATTCGCGCTATACCATGTGATGTTTGTGAAGTTTGCAATGTTGTTGAGTCTACTGAGCATCTAATCTTCAGATGTCACAGTCTTGATGGCATTAGAGATTCCTTTAGCTTCTTCAAGTTATATGGCTGTCTCCTCGATCTCTTTGGAGCAAAAAATGTACGTCATCTCGGGGAACTAACTTGCTTTATTAGAAAAGCCAATTTATCCTTTTAGAATTTTTCTTTTTCCTCTTCTTACAAAAACGAAAAATAATCCTAGGAAGTTGTATCACACTAAACTGAACTTGAAAAATTAATTAACAAATAAATAAAAATCGTAAATTTTTGCAGCTTTTACAAGTGGATCACACATTTTAAAATTCCACTGTACCAGTTGCTTAAGAAAGCTCATGCCGAGTTTCAGAAATCTGGTTACAATTTTATTACTGAAAGTACCAAGAAAAACTGGATGGACAGACAAGGCTAAAACCAACAAATATAAAAATGGTAACATGACTTAAAATAATAAAGCTTTCGATTCTCAATAAATGGACAGTCAGATAGATAAAACTCTGTCTAGAACATTCGCTTTTGATATGTGCTGAATAAGAATTTCTTCTGGTCTTTGCAAACGAATACACTAAAATAAGCTTTCACTTCGGTCTTAGAAATAGAGGTGATACTTAATGCGTTTAATTATCCTGCTAATGTACTTTCAGCAAACCACCTAATTTAAAACAACACATTTCTATGTTGACACTCGCTTTCAGCTCCATGACATCATTGGGTAGAGAAATTGATTCCGCACTTCTCTCAGCTATCTTGAATGTCCTATCGTTGTTAGTATTATTCAAAAAATTATTTTCGAATTCATTTCCCTCTACGAAAATAGGGTCAGGCCCTGCTTCGATCCGTATATTTATGTTTTGTATGTTGCCGATGCTATCCTGGGAACAGTTATAAAGGATAAACATTTTTTTTTAAGGATATGACAAGATCATTCACTTGGAATTGTCATCACTAAAAACCATTTCCTTTTCCTTCTATTTGAAACAAGATAGGTTTGTTTTAGAGTATCTAACATAAAAAAGACATATTAGCAACAAAAGTTTTGTTTTTCATTTGCCGTTTGCTTTCGTGTGAATGTATTTGTTGTACTGAAACTTTAAAATTTTTATACACTTTGCATTTTATTTCAACTGAGAGAAGAGACGGCTGTTTATTTTTCGTATTTTGACAGCCGCACATAAATATAAACATAGCTTTGCGCTTTTTCTGCTTTAATAACTTTGCTTTTTTTCTGGTTCACCGTGAACTATAGCAACGAAAGACATGGCGAAAATGATACGGGAGACAATAGAAACATAAAGATAGAGGTCTCGTCTTCGTCGAGAACGAAATTAACTAAAAGATACGTGACGATCCTCGACCTGAAACGAGTAACAAAGAAGATAAAAGCAGTTGCGAGTTTGATTCAGCGAAGCAATCTTGCTTTCTTTTCGTAAGTTAACAATAATTAGTATTGGTACATTTACAATGAATAGCAATATTTACTATTACCTTTTCATATGAAAATCGTATGGCGCTGAAATATTGGCCATATGATTTTTTTTGCTACATATTTTCTTCTTCAATATTCAGCAATTCAAATACTCGCAGCGTTGATGAGGTTGTTAATTATCATATAGTTATTTTGCTTGTTTGTAGACGTTAGTTGATGTTTTTCGCATGCTCTTTTGTCCGTGTTTACATAAATACCGTCTGGGTTGTCAACGTAAATGCATGTCGAAACTATATTCATTGGCGCACTAATGTAACGTAAACATGGAAAATTGAAACGTATTTTAACACCTAATACGTGATGCAGTATGCATATACGTTGATTCTGTTTAACACTTTAGTTTTAAAAGGCCGAATCAGCCTTGGATCTAAAATACTGCTAAAATTTGCAAAATTGGGCATGCCTATGTCTTCACTGACCACACAATAGCAGTATTTTCTATACCATAGAATCGTGAAAGTCAGGTTCGTCAAGTTTTTCAAGGTGCGTAACTGTTAAAAAGGAAAGGAAAACAAAGAAAACCACGAAAATTACATAGGAAAAGCATAAGCTATATGAAATTTTAGGCCATACATAAAAATACGAAACCCGTGCGAAAAATTGCGTAAAAAAAGAAGTTTAAGTTGTTCAAAACCATTGCATGGGGTTTAAAGGAATGAACAGCAAGGATTGTTTAGGACTGCGTTTGCGAGTCTGCACCCTTCATCAAACTTGGAAGTGGTTACATCAAACCGAGGCGTTGCACGAATACTTAATATCTGTTAACGCTGCTGATACTGCAAATCATCAAAAAACTATAATGCTATAATTTTGGCTTATGTCCAAATTTTTCAAGATATCTAATACTGCGCAAACCGTAAAGACTTCCAAAATTTCTCTTAAAAAACGTCGTCGCAAAAAAATCTTTTACGACGACATTATAATACACGTAAAGATAAAACTCAACTATAGAAAGCAAAGAAAAGAAACAGTGACCTTTTGTGTAAAACGAAAACAAAATCTTATGATTTAATTTTTGATTCCAAAAACAAAGTGCATTTCATTTTTAGAAAGAAAATTTCAGCTAAGACAAAAAATCTGTAAGCTCTAGTCATAGTTGTTAAATGAACAAATAAAAAACGGTTCAATTATATCACAAAGATATAAAGTTGTTAAATGCTACCAATAAATAAATAAAAAACGATTCAATTATATCATAAAGATATAAAGAACGGACGCAAAAAAAGCATCAAATTGCCTATAGAATACAGCTGATTCGTTTTACAAACGACAGTTAACTTGATGCATTTATAAAATAAGGGGCAAAAAAAGAAGTCGTTATCATCTGAAGTTACCTTTATGGTCCTTGAATTTTCAATCAAAGCAATCACCAGATATTTTTATATATATTTCATAGCAACAAAGTTGCACTGTTTTTATTAAATAACTTTCATTAATCAAAAGACATGATAACATTAAGAGCAATCGGTCGTAATTCTAAAGGTGCAAAATTGCGCACAATATTTCGTCTGGCTATCTCGCAGCGACAGCTCTCATCATCATCAGCTACTAATACTAACACGACAAATGACGACAGCAGTAAAGATGAAAACAAAAATATTACGAAATGTATATCTGATGCTGAAATAAAGAAATCCGTGTTCATTTCTCAATCATACGATATTTTCACCAATCTTGCTTTGGAAGATTGGCTGTATCGAAACTTTGATTTTAGACATCATCATGTATTACTGTTGTGGGCTAACGAGCCATGTGTTGTAATTGGTCGGCACCAGAATCCTTTTCTGGAAACTAACGTATCAAAAATTATGGGTAATGGGATTATATTGGCTCGGCGAAGTAGCGGAGGTGGTGCGGTATTTCACGACCGCGGTAACCTTAATTGTACATTTTTCACGCCCCGAGAACGCTATAACCGCAAGTATAATTTAAATATATTAACTCGTGCATTATTTCGTGAGTGGGCTATTAAAGCGGACATAAATAAGCGTGACGATATTGTCATCAACGAGAAAAAGGTTAGTTCGCGTCAAGCCCGTAAGTAAGTATCCATTTTGTATATTGATAGCTAGATAACCTATCATAGGATTTCTGGTATACGAGGTCATTTGTAACAGAAAATTATAAGCAAACTTCCGAAGATCAGAAGCACATGCGCATTTTTCGTAATTTCAGGTCTTGTTAACCTCTTTTGGTACATGATTTTATAACCCAGAACGACATTTCTGCATTAAGTATCTTTAATATCCACAATTTAATGGAAAGTTTTTGCTGCTCTAATATTCTACTTATATACCAATTTTTTTGGTCAGTCGTCCACTCTTAATTAATAAATGTGATACGCCTTAAATATTTTAAAAATTACAACTAAAGCAATTGCAATGAATGCGAAAATAGTAAAAAAGGTAACTACATTCAATTTAAAAATTGAAAATGTTTTTATTATATTCGCTGCACAGTATTTTTACTGCAGCATTTTTACTTGTCACAATTATCAATTCATTTTTAGTTTTCTTATCAACTGGTTATTAGCAAATTTAGCTATTCAAATTAAGTTTTTGTTAAACAAGAGTTAAACTGTGGTTTTTTTACTTTTCATCCATTACGTAAATTATTGTTTTTCTGCTTTGACGTTGTAGATTTCTGGGACAGCAGCTAAGCTCGGACATCCGAATGCTTATCATCACTGCACATTATTGGTGAATGCAAACAAAACCCATTTAGGAGATTCTCTTGTTAGAGAAGAGGTACACCCCATCTATTTCTTATGCAAAAAAATCGTTATTTTCATTATTCTTTCGGCTAAGGCAACTTATATAGGCAAAGCCACGGCTTCGAAAAAGTCTGCCATTAAAAATTTATGTGATGTTAATAGCACCGTAAATATAGCGCAGCTACTGTCGGCAATTGGTTATGAATTTTTACGCACTTCAGCCACAGAACTGGAAGATGGCGGCAATATTCAGACCATGAAACAGAGGGGATTTCAACTCATAAATCCAACAGAAAAGTGGTTTCCAGGAATTGATGTTTTGCGTCATGAATTTAGTTCTTGGGAATGGATCGTTGGAAAAACGCCTACCTTTAGCGTTGAAAAAGAATTAGCTCTGAAGACGGACGGCGATAAACAGTTAATAATGAAATTAAGTGTCGGCGTCGAAAAAGTAAGAAGTGCTCTTAGCTCGTAGCTTTTGAAATCCTGTTAACATCCTCTGTTTCCTTCTTCAGGGTTTAATGGCCGATATCAACATTGTGATGCCTAATGGGGATAGATTGCCGGTTATAACCCAATTCCAAAACAAAAGCTTTAATGAGAAAAATTTGAACAATATAGTTGGCGCTCTTAAGTTGGCTTCGACGGACAATGTTAAACAAGCTATTAATGGCTTATAAGGGCTATGTCTAAATTATACTTTCCACAGCTTTATGTTTGTTTATTTTTACGACAATTTGCGAAAAATAAAGATGCAATGTCTTCATTTACTTTTTTTTTTAAACATTAATTATTCCTCTTATGTAAGTTAGTTTCAAACAGATTTTCTGCAGCAGAGAAACTAACAGGAGATTTTTTTAAAAGAAAGGAGCTACAACTTTTCTATATGTCGTAAAACACTTAATATGCTCTTTATTTTCTGAACAAAATTCAGCTAAAGTTTGGAAATTGAAAAAATGTGCACAGATATGCACATAAGCACATTGATGACGTTTAAAAAATGGTGAATTTTTAACTTATGTACTTTTTATTCAATACAAATTTTCCCTCTTTTTATACGTTTTCAGAAACATTAATTGCACTTTAAAGAGAAAAGAAAATGATTATTGATCTCTTATTACTTAAGATTTGCTATTTGCAATTCCCGTTCTAAACTTAATTAATATGGGTTGTTTTAATAAGTTCAACTATATTCTGATAATCCGGATCGCGGGAAAAAAAATCAGTTAGATAGTGAAATGTAGGTCTATCCTTAGCTTTGTAATTCCAACAACTTTGAATTATTTTGTAAATATAAATTGGACAAAGCGGTGGTTGTGGCAAGCGGTATCCACTCTCAATTAATTGAATTGCGTCAACTCCACGGATATTTCCGAATGGAGCTTTACCAAAAGAAAACATTTCCCAAAGTGTAATTCCAAAAGACCAGACGTCACTGGCATGCGAAAAAAGCCCATTGTTATAACTTTCCGGAGCGTACCTGTTGATATGTAAGTCGGAATGATAAGAGCTCTATCTTTTCAAAAATTGAAATTTCACTAACCACTTAATGGGCCACTTGCCGCCTTGGCTAGCTTGGTAACACCCGCCGTCGCTTCCAAGCGCGCGGGACAATCCGAAATCACTAATTTTTGCTTGATTTCGAGAAGCGAGTAATATGTTGCGAGCGGCCAAATCTCGATGCACGAAATGGTTAGATTCCAGATACTCCATTCCTATAAGAATTACCTTGAAGCAAAGGAGTTGTAATTCAATATTATGAATGCATACCACATGCTATTTGCGAAGCCCACAATTTTAACTCATAGTGAACTCTTATAGTGTCTTTTTGTTCTAAGATAAAATGCAGCATCGAACCTAAAGGCACCAACTCCTGCACCATCATAAGGGTTTCCTCCTTTGAAATACCAATCAATTGGACAATGCAGTGGTGTTTTAAGTGTATCATAACGGACGCTTCTCGTAAGAACTCCCGGCTATTCGAAGGGTAGTGATCGTCACGTAATGTTTTAATTGCGATTTCTCGACGTTTTTGAGATAATCCACTACTAGCTTCTGGTTGAATAAGAAGTCCCTTGTAGACTGAACCAAACTCACCTTCACCTATTATCATCTCAAGCACCAAATAGTCTCTTGGTATAAAGTAATTGCATGCGGTTTTACAATTTGTGACCTCATCCCTGTTTGATGTGTTTGATACAAGGTAACTCAAGTTCTTGACATCTTTAGCAGTCCCTGAATCAATATCAGGCATTACAGCCTTATTCTCTAAGATATTACCTTCTTGGGACGTATTCATGGAACCTTCTTCAGTGATAGCTACATATTCCTCGGTACAAGATTGATGATAAATGCTGAAAAAAAATTGATTTTGCTTTTATATAACAAAATTTGAAAGCCTGCGTAACTTACGTTTGCTTTCTTTCATGCTCAATAACCACGTCGCTTTTTGTGAAGTAGTCAACTTCATCTTCAGTCTTCTCTTCAAGACATATTTTGATAACCTCATCATTCGGAGATAAGTCTTCTTTAAAGTTCGATGCCTTTTTAACCACGTCAACGACTGAATTATTCTTAGGGACATTATAAAACTCATTCATTAATGGAGTGGATATGTTCGATTCATTAAAATCTGTTGAGAATGAAAGATTTTTAATAAAATCCTCCGCCTTTTGTATTCCTTCTTCACTAGATATTTTTAACTTGTCGTTGGTCGGATTTATATTTGACGTTGTTTTATTTTCTTTTCGTAAAGTGCCTTTGTTTTCCACATTTTTCCTGGGACTGCGTAACCTAAGTGTACTAAAAACAGATGTTGATATTTCTTTTGACCTTTTTTTATTGTTTTGTGCATTTTGGAATAACTGATGGGACTGCTCTGTACAGTACGAAGTATTTTTATTTACATCCAACTGATCCGATCCTTTTTCTAAACCGATAAGAATATCCAAAGATTTTTTATGACTTGTTCTTGGCATAGTAGAAAATAAGGGTAGCGGCGGTTTTGGCTTTGGTGTAATAGGATAGCGGAGATTCACGGGCAAACCGTCAGCAAAATGCATAAAATGTTCAACTAAGTGTTCTAATGATGGCAGATAAGGGCCGTCGTCAATAAACAAAAATTTGGACTGAAGATAAGTCTGTTATTATTGCACAGCAATTTTTTAAATTTATTATTGCGTTAATGTTCACTTACTGATTGGGAAATAATGAAATTTTTAACGGTATTGTCGGAGAACATCGTCAAAACATACCCAGAACCAACACTTTTTCTATCTGAGAAGCGGATTAAAAAACAACCAGCCGTATCGGTTTCGGCAGGGGATGAATTCGTACTAGTGTTAACACCTTCTGAATTTGTATTTCGCAAAGTTTTTGAAAATTCCATTAGAGTTTCTATTGCTTCGTCACGTGTTAATGTCCCGTGATACCATTGCGATTTCGAAGTTCTTGCTGGAGGCAATATATAACTTTCCAAAAACGCAACCACTTCTCGATGTCCAGCACGCTTCGCCAGGTCAAGCGGAAATTCGCCTAGTGATGTCCGAGGTAAAAGCGGCGCATGAAAGCCCAGCAATTCTTTCACTGCTTCTAGATTACCGTATTTTGCAGCCTCATGCAAAGGAACATAACCATTTTTTATATTACGACCTTGCACATTAGCTTGTGCTAGAAGAAGTGATTTTATAAACGATCCCGATTGATACCGGCAAGCATACTAAAAGATATATAAAACATTTACTGTATACATAGGTGTTAAACAAAAAATTTATGAAATACAATACATGCAGTGGCATGTAGTTAGCGGTATCCATACAATTGACGTTAACACCAGCTTTTATTAACAGTTGGAGCATTTTCTCATCCCCATGCAAAGTGATTAAATGCATAGCAGTTTGACCATCGCGGTTTTTGGCATCAATATTACGATAGCCACATTTCAATAGTTCTGAAACAACTACGTAATTATTTTTCATAACTGCACGATGTAGAAGGTTGCTGGTTCCTTGACTCCGAGTGTCATTAGGGGGTGGATCTTTACGTATGAATTTCGTCAACTTCGTGACTAAACCGTTTGCAGCCTGCTGATAGAAATCCACTAAGGTTTCTAAACCATGCAATATTTTTATTTTATCTTCGATTGAGAAGAAAGCGTCTTCACCGTGACGTCTTATTTGATAATGGCACACTTCTCCTTGAAAAAGCAATGTCAATACAAAATCTCCCGTGGCCGTACTACTTTCGCGTATTAAAAATGTTCCGTCCAAGTTTTCTCCTATGTTAATATAATATATGTACATATATAATTAATTAATAATATAATTAATATATATATATAAATATTATAAATGTTCACAATTAACTAGCAAACATTTTTCTACCGTTTTTAATTAGCTCTTCCGCATTTTCTCGACTAAGTTTTCCGTGATACCAGCACAAATCTTCATCTCGATTCATAATTGAAACTTCTTTATTTTGTCTTCAAGTAAAATCTTGTCCGAAAATTTCTTCCACTACTAACTTAGCATGTATATAAAATTTATAAATATCTTTTTGGAAACGTAACTATAACTACTTTTCAGATAAATTTGTAATTAATTTTTTTTTTTTAACTTAATTGTTACCAATAAATATTATTACAGTACAGGGCTGCCAATTTTAAATGTATATCCACGTAAAGTGACTGTGTATTTTTTAGTTGACTAGCTCTCATTTCGACGAGGTGCGTTTCTTTGTTTACAACGAAACAATCAAAAACAAAATTATACAAACGTAAACAAAAGCAAAATTATGGAACATTTCTGATAAAACGGTATGGAGTTAAATAATTTTATATAATCCATATAATTTCATATTTTCATTTCTTAGGAAAATTTTGAATTGATAAGTTGAACTTTGATATATACGTTTTCATTATTATTTTATACAAAACAATATATTTATTCAATACGAACTTATACATTTATACATGGAGTGCATAATATTTTAAAATAAATTACTAATCATTCCTAGTTTTGTGTTACGCACGTAAAAAACAACTTTTTAATTGTCACAAAACATCTTACAGCCGATTTATTTTTTATATCCTTTATTTCAATAGAAAGTGCAGAAGTTGTGCCAGTTCTTATTTCCTTTCTTAGCCGTTTCATTTGCCAGGCCTTTAGCGAAAAGGCGATACCGTCGTTAAAAAAAAGTCACTACCATTCCGTTCAGCCTAAGCTTGCTTTTTCATTTTGGGAGGCTTACGACAATATGGGTCAATCTATGCTTCAAATCGCTTCAATATTGGGAGTATTTCAATCATCGTTTATTGTAGAACAACGCGTCACAAGAACATGAGAAGCACAAGAAGAAGTTGCTTGTATTAATTTTCCCTGAAATGTATTCAAAAACCTCCTTTGATACACGAAGCTCTATCGGTGGCAAAATGCGTATTCTAATTTACATTGTTGACAAGTATATAAGATCATTTATTTAGACATTTTCGGGTTTTTGAAGCGCATCGCAGAGCCTTTCTACGTGTCAAAAGATTATTTCTCCGCCAATCTCAATATTCCTCTACTTCCAAGTAAAGTAATAGGACGAAGGGAACATTCCGCCTTAGGTGTAAATTTTCCTCAGTATTAATTGATGATTTAATAACAATCTTTTTACTTTTTTTATACTCGTTTAGTAGAATGGATTTGGGCTGCTGATGATAAGACCAATATACCCAGTAAAGTGATGAATTTTTATTACTTGTTGATATTTCGTGCATTATCAATGAGAGCGACAGTATGTGATCACGTATGGGAAGATTGATGATACAGAATTGATTGATTGATTGAATTTTGGCGAATTAAGGACAAAAGAAAAGTTAATATACTTACCTAACAATACAAAAATTTTCTGGATTGTTTGGAATTTATTTTAATTTCAATTTTCAGCTGATTTCTTATGTAAATGCAACTCTAACCAACCAATACTAACGCAAAGCTTCATCAATTTTTCTTAGTCCTGATTTGATACCTTTGATAGAGCGTTTCTCGCACCTCTTGTACATACGTATAGTAAAATAAGTCGAAACCCGAAAATGAAATCTACCTAACGCTCCATATAATCAGTGATAAAGTATTATCTCATGCTAAGCTTTGCGGTTTAACTGGAATAGTTCGAAAGTAATAAATAATCAAGAGATTTTTTTGGTTTGAGAAATTGCACAACTTCAACTTTTTTTTAAGCTTTGCAGGCTCGAGAAGTGGTCATATGATTTTATGCTACTTAAGTGAAAACAATAGATAGATCAACTATCCACTGTGTAGCATTATGTGCTATTGTCGGTCGATCACTCTACCAGATTAGTTTGCAAACGCTAGAGCAGTAATTTACTGTAGAGTTCTTGGGAGAGGAGAGAGGAAATTGAGTAGGCGACGATTTTTATTTTCGAAAAGAAGCTTTTCTTTTGAATTTGGTCTTTCCTGGGAGATATTATTTATTGTTTTTTATTAGATTTCTAGAAATATTTGGCAGACGGTGGCCTATTAAAGTACTATTTGTGCAAGTTATAATATGAACTATACTGATTCTGAAAGGACAATCATTACAAAATAGCAGACAAACATAGACATCTCTAAATGAATAAAAAGTACAAAATAAATTTACCAGTGCCAGCTGACCCATTCCGTCATTTTATTTCATTTGACTCTCACAATTTTCCTATTGAGGACTTTAAAATTCTTCGTAAACTGCTGACAAGACAAATAAGGATTATATATATACCAAATAACCGGATACATTCTGCTTACAAGCTGGAAGAGATAAGGATCCGTAATTGAAGAAGCAAGCATCATCAAAATAACCAGATAACTTTGTTTTGTGTTAATCTATAGTCCTATACTTTTGTTTTCTCAATTGAAGCTTATTAGTGTACGAGAGGGCGCATTCGTATCACCTGATAAGTTCAGTTATTAACAAGTAAATTTAACTTTTTCTTTTTTTGGTTTGACACAACGTTATCCTAAATTTCTTTTTAAATTAGTTAATAATGATCAATATATAGAATATATTTATTGTTACGAAAATCCCAAATCCACCAGTCAGCCAAGTAGTTTTCCCTAATAATAAATTTCCTAAAGAAGGAAAAACAAAATGAACATTCGCAGACGGCTTATGCAGCTGCAGGCCGATGAAAACGATTAGCGGAATAGCAGACAGGTAAAAGCTAAGTGCACATTCGTAGGCGCGTCATGCAGCTGCAGGCCGATGAAAACGATTAGAGGAAAAGTAGGCTGGGATTAGAAATAAAACCATAAATTTAGGTATAGTAACATGCTTGTAAAAATGTATATAAATAGAATATTCGTGGAAGGGAGAATTAGTCGGGCAAGAACATTTGAGCTGAGAGTACGGCCAAAATAAATTGTGAATAATCTTACATGTAAGAAATATAATTGTAAACAAATACTCCTACTTTTGTGAAAGACAAAGTAGTAAAATAAAATAACTTTGAAGTGTATTTCTCTTGATCAAAATATCCACGATCCAGTGATACGGACTGTATCTTACAAAAGCGAATTTCATAACAATGTATACATTTACACTCAATTTAGGTTATTATATATTGCCTTTCACACATCTTGATTTAATATAGTTTTATTAAAATAGATACGGTTAATACTTTTTTTGTTGTCAATTTTATTTTGTGTTTTTCTCTGAGTTAAACATGATTAATTAATTGGAAGCGAAACCGCATCAGGACGGTATGCCGTATTGAATATAAAAAAATTCAATCTGACTTTACAAACCCTACCCTACCCTCCTCATTGCCTCGCGAGTGTTCTATGCTGAATATCGCGTCAACTTTTGTGTTGTTTATATATGTATGCTTATGCGTATATATAATAATATAAAGATATTAATATTCCAAAATTTATAAGGATTGCAGCTTGGCCATTTTACATGTGTACAAAGAAGTTTGTGAAACATTTACATAAAGCAAAGAGAAAAAAAGCCAAAAAATTATATAGTATTTCGATGACCGAGTCGGTTTATCATCGTTGACGTTAGAATTTCCCTCACTTCCTTCGTCATTTTTTGAGATCTCTTGGTTCTGTTTCAACTAATTTGTTAATATTTTTTAATTTATGAATTTAAAATATTAATATGCAAGAAGTGGAAAGTTAAGGCTTATTAATTAATGCCCCAATGCAAAATTGGTGGTACACTTGTTTGGTGTAAAACGATCACCATCGCCTCCAGGTGTTTTGGGGCCTTTGTTTGGAATTTGATTCTTCTTCTTTTTTGTATTCCATGACTTACCTGGCGTTTATGTAGCTACGCTCGTACCTGACATTCTTTCGCTTTTACACAAATTTTGCTTACGACTTCATACAAAATATTTATCGACCGTCTTTTTTGCTTCTTTTTTTGGGAACATTTCTTAAAATTCTACAATAAAAATGATTACATGTAGTCCTTCCAATGTTAATAAAACAATGGTCGGAATTTTAAATGCGAAACCTTCTAAATTAGAAATAGTCAAAATACCGTTCTATACGTATACGCAAACAAGATAATTATGTTCGATTCCTTTATTTCTGTCAACCCTGTCTTACAAACAATTACAAAACGAGAAAATTTCAATACTACAATGTAGGCGTGGCTGCGTACAAATACTGTATGCTCGTCCGTTAAATGTAGATGGAAATTTTTATCCATGCCAATCATTTCATTGTTCTTCTGCATAGTAAAGCGTATATTTACTAATAATACTATATTTATAGAATCAGTTAAAAAGTTTCCTAATGTTACTTTTAATTTACAAGCTTTACGTTCTTTTAAAATCAACTGAAAACGTGAAGTCATACGAACTTGTTTATTTAATTTTCTTATTCGTGTGTCAAATGTTCTTCGTCAAAATTATTATCCATAAATTTGCGATTACAATTACAAAAGTTATAGTGTAACTTAGTGCATAGTGAAATATGAAGATTTTCAATAATTTTCTAAAATTTCGTTTAGGTTATTTATCAATTATGTTAATTAATCAACAAATAGTATATATATTAGTATATATATATTATGTACATGTATGTGTATAAGTGTGTACGGCGCAAACGTTTGTTAACCCAAGTCCATTATGCAAACATAAAAATGTTTTTTTATAATTTTTTACTATTAGGAAATGCATATTAAAATATAAAAAGAAACCACACCAAACATTATTCCAGCAGACAAAAAAATTAAATAATTTCAACAACTCAAAAAACATTGGGTAATTAATATTGCGGTTTTTTTCATATAAGGAAGGATACGAAGATAAAAAACAGCATATTATTAAAAATTAGTATTCCTTTTTGCTGAACAACGTAATTTAAACGTTTTGACATACTTTACGCAATTTTTCTTGAGGGAAACAGAATTTATACTTTTTATAAGAAGAACTTATAGTCCATTTTTCAAATTTAGACGGAAGAGATTGAAAAACTATTCAATCTTTTTTATTAAACACATTGTCTTTTTTTCGTTCATCGAGTCTCTGAGCCTTCCATCTCGATGTTGCACTATGAATAATATGCCCTTTATTTTTAGTTGATGGGAAAATGATGAGCAAAAATGCTTCTTTTATATCTAAATATGTTTATTTAAATAAATTTGATTAAAATATTATTCTTACT